CTCTTGAAGGCCACTCCAGGAACATCTTCTGATTTGTTTAAATTATTTTACGTTTCCCCATGTTACTAAGGGTAACAGAATGACTGGTGTACCCAGGGCTCCGCATGGGACACCCTGCTCCAACACCCAACAAAGCCCTGGAGATGGAGAAACCCTGAAATATGGGACAACACAACACTTCGCTATGCTGAGGAGAAAACAAAAGCAGGCCTACTGATGAACACCAAAACCAGAGAAATATAACACGTTTTCCAAATAACAAAGAGGATCTGACAGGGCAGTGGTTGAAGTACTGCTTTGGTATTGTTTTCTAGGTACGTCAGATTAGAAATTATTTCGACGATTGACTTTTGAGTCAGATGAAGTCCTTCTATTAATGTTAATGGGTTTTGGATGAGGATCTAAAACTACGCCAAGAATTCCAGGAACTTGGATGCAATCCCTGTGTACAAGTTTACTTCCACGATTCTGATTCAAAATTCGAAACTACAGCTTCTGGTTCGGGTTTACACAAAAGCAACTGGAATTTCAGGGTATTCTTCAAGAATACCTGAAATTTCTTGTCAAACTCTGACAACACCGAAGCTCAGCCCAAAGCTTTGTTTGGCCTCAAACCCTAAATGCCAGCCTTCATCTCTCTTTGTGGAGGAACTGTGCCCGCGTCCCTCAACCCCACACCACCGTTTCTATCTAGCAAAGGTGAAATTTATAACTCTGTCCTATTTCCTTTGAGTCATCATCAAATGCCAACTGCTAGTCAGGGCAGACGATGCACGATGGACTAACAGTTTGATATGTTATTGAAAATCCTATATAGCAGTGCCTTAAAAACCCTGTTAGGCATACAGAGTACTTAGGGGGCAAGGGTATGCTTGATCTCCTTCAGGACACAGGTTCAAAATTCACCTGGACAAAACAAGCCACCAGTTCTCCTCCGTCCAGGCATCCTGGAGCAAACGTACGTGGTGCAACGGGAAAGGCTGCAAAAGCACAGGCACTTGCTTCTGGGCTGGCTTTATTTACACAACATGGGTTGCTATGGGGAAGAATCACGGTTGTGTAAACTGTCTTTATAGAGACATAATTCCTACGACATAATTCCAAAAGACCAACTTCTGAAATACTGTTTTTCCTCTTCCTTGACTAAATCCCACGTCAACGTCCCGCTTCAGGTCTCAAACCAGCCTGCGCAACACACTTGACAAAAAATCACTAAGAAAGTGGGATCCGAGAGGAGTTCACGGAAACCACTCCTCGTCCCAGAGAGAACAAACCTGGAGCCCTTCACGAGCTGAGAAGCAGCTGAATTTTTTGGAGCCCAGGCTGCAGGGACCAGCCAAACGCTGCTGCGGGGCCCCCGTTCTCCGCGAGCAATCCCTGCCACCAGCAGGCATTCTTGAGGGCTTCCAGGAGGTCATCCTTCACCCAGTGGGAGACAGCCGGCTGAGTTGCCTTGGAGGTGGGCCAGCATGCCTCACAGAGCTATCCTGTTTCAGTGGAATATTTAACTGTGCTACAGCTTTCTACCAGAGCATTAAAACCGCCCTGCCAACCGCTTAAGGTGGCCGGCGAGGACTCGTCGCAAAATGATCGTTTTCTTTCCAACGCACTGGAAATTTCCGTAAGTCAAGGAAGAGGGTTTCCTACTGCCCCGCGCTCGTCCAGCAAGTGCCTAATGAATTTAAGGACAAATGAAACGGTAACAACTGTCCGATGTGCCTCTCGTGTGATTCAGTACAGGAAACTCAGAAAGTAACTCCTGCACCAGCTCCAGAATAAACATCCAACGAAAACGCCATCTGACCTCGGTTATTTATGTGCTGACCTGAGATGTCATCCAAACTCTGTTCTCAGTCTCTTTGCTAAGTTTTCCTGACCTTTTCCACAGGCTCCTGGTGTGATTCCTACTGAGCTCCGCTGACTCTCTTCAATTTCCTTCCCTTTCCATGACGGTGTGAGCGTACTGTCTCATACAACTTAACCACGTATGTCAAAATACCCACATCTGGCATGTTCTGCCAAACCCGAAGGTGACTGAAGGCAGCTGGCCTCTCTACTGCATTTTGCCAAAGGACTAGAGCTTCATCATCTGTCCTTTGGGTGCCTCTGACCCCAGTAACTCACAAAGCTCCAGGCTTTACATGGCTAGGAGAGCACCAGAGCTCAGCTCCGGTGCCCTGAAACACTACAGTACAGTTTATATGCTACAGGTTGTTGGATGGGAAAAGTTCCTAACGTGGTGTCTCCTGGGATGGAGATGAGGACTGTGCGTGCCTGTGACTTTCAAAGCTCCACAAATAGCCCAGGGAAGTCCATTCTCGATTACTCCTTTAATCCATTTTTTTTCTGCGTGTTAATCCAAAACCACAGAACTGCTGAGGTTGGAAGGCACCTCTGGAAATCATAGAATCATCTGGTTGGAAGAGACCCTCAAGATCACTGTCAGGGTCCTTAAACCATGTTGCTCAACACCAAATCCACACGGTTTTTAAACACCTCCAGGGATGGGGACTCCAACACCTCCCTGGGCAGCCTGTTCCAATACTTCACAACCCTCTCTGGAAAGAAATTTTTTCTGATATCTAACCTAAATTTCCCCTGGCGTAACTTGAGGCCATTCCCTCTCGTCCTGTCATTCACAACGTGGGAGAAGAGACCGACCCCCATCTCCCTACAACTTCCTTTCAGGTAATTGTAGAGAGCGAGAAGGTCCCCCCTGAGCCTCCTCTTCTCCAGACTAAACAGTCCCAGCTCCCTCAGCCGCTCTTCATAGGACAAGTTCTCTAAACCCTTCACTAGTTTTGTTGCTCTTCATCTAACCCTGAACCCTTGCTCAGAGCACAGTCATCGTCACCTAGAGCAGGTTGTGCAGGGCCATGTCCAGCCAGGTGCTGAATACCTCCAAGGACAGAGACTCCATGACTTCTTTGGGTGTCCTAGTCCAATGTCTGACCACCTTTACAGTAAAAAAAAAGTTCTTCTTACATTTAAACAGAATTTCCTCTGGCTTGGTTTGTGCTCATCGCCTCCTGTCCTTTCCCTAGATGCCACTGAGAAGAGTCTGTCTCCTCATTTCTTAATCCCTTACACATGTATAAGATCTCCCTGAGCCTTCTCCTCTCCAGGCTGAACAGCCCCAGCTCTC